ACTGTTTAAATGCTATTTGTCCTAAATGCATTTAGACTAACAGTTAGAACACTTAGGATTGCATTTTCATCATGTGGGATATTTGTAGCAAAATTCAGTGCGGCTTTGAAAATGCATTCCGAGCTGACCACGCCCACCCTCCGTCAATCATTGCTTCAAGGCAGGGATTGGCAGAAGCGTGTTACGTTTGGATCGTTTGAAACATGGCGGCTGGAGATCTGATAAAATCGTTGAATTCACTGGCAGATGAAGTGGAGCTTGAACAGAGAAATATATGAAGCGTATGACGCGCACTCCGTGCCAAAATCAAACGTTCGAACGACCGACTGACAGATCGAACGTCTATGGAAGGCCGTAAAGTATGGCGACCGGTGGAAGTGCGAGTAACCGATCATGTTTCCAACGTGTTGTTTACATGTGTAGACACGTAACACGTTTGTGTTTTTCTTACCTTAATGTAATCTCTTTTACTTCAGTTGTGTCCTCCAAAATAGTCAAAATTTTATTTTTGCAATGGCTGATTTAGAAATTATATGCAGTGTATTATTAAAGTTAAAGCAGCAGAGGGTATTATTTACAAAGCGGGCATGCTTTGACAGTTAATTTGGAAAAGCAGGAGATATTCCACGTATTTTTTCAGGATTCTTTTATGAATAGAAAGTTCAAAATAACAGCATTATATTTGAAATTTGATCTTTTTTTACTGGCACTTTTGATCAATTTAATTAGTCCTTGTTGAATAAAAGTGTGTGTGTGTGTGTGTGTATATGTGTGTGTGTTTTTTTTTAATGGTATTTTGAATTGTAATATGGTTATGGTTTTCATAAAAAAAAATGAAGAACTGTTTTCTATATTGATAATCAGAAATGTTTCTTGCCAGCAAATCAGCATATTAGAGTGATTTCACGGAAGACTGGAGTAATGACGCTGAAAATCAGAGGCGGACAGTAGTGAAGTATTTTTACTTTTGTGAAGTACTTTTCAGGTGTCTGTACTTTATCAGAGTGTTTTTCTTTAGAAAACTTTACTTCACACCA